CCCCCAATCTGTTCTTCATTTGCACTTAGGATAACAAGCGTTTGTTTCAGCCAGAAGGATTTCAGCTGGCCCTGGCCAAGGACTGGGAGGGGCCTACTCGTAGGACCGACAGGTGAGTGGACTCCCACCCACTCGCACCTGGCTCTCTGAAATGCTGAGGGAACATCATACCTCGGGGCATAAATAGTAAACGACTCTAGAGCACAGGGAAAATAGTCCATTGGATACACCAGCTGTGCTCACTCTGCCGTAATCTCCGTCACCAATATTGGCTGGGACAAAAAAAAAAAAAAATGAATTTACAAGCCGGGCCCAGCACACCTGGGCATCTCGGCAAACTGCAGTCTTTGCTGCCATCTCGTGGTCGGGCTTTGGTATTGCAGCACCCCGGGGTCCTGGGGGAGACCATCTGCATGTTAAATCAGAAACACCTGAGAGGCAGCAGAGACCCAGCTGTGTGCAGTTGTGTGGGCTGATCTCAGGGTTTCTAACTTAATCCCGACAAGAATGGCTGGCCACTGAGGGCCCCTAAGCCAATTTAGGAAGGCCACTTTAGCTAAAGTGTGGAGGGCTGGCCTGGAGACAGAAAGACCAGCAAGGCTTCGTTTTGGTGACACAGGGCAGCAGTGACAAGACTTAAACACGGCTACGTTTCTGGCTTAAAGTGCTAAGGGGGAGACGGTATTATCAAGCTATCTAGAGGACACGGGGGAAGAAGATTCACGAGGCCCAAGGAGCAATCACTGCAGTTGTGGGCGGACCGAGTTTGAAGACCGTAAAGGACGCTCAGCTGGGGAGGCCCAGTGGGCAGCGGGGTGGGCAGAGCTCAGGGGCAAAGGGTAGATTTGACTTGCAGATTGTGCACTCGGGTAATGGATTTTGCCCCGAGATACGCTTAACGTAATTTTTTAATTGTCATATTCATTATGTAATAAATTATCTCACAAGCATATTATCAAATAAATATAAATAATGTAATATCAAAATCCTGTAGTATACTATCAAAATGTAATTTTTAAAAATTACAGATTTTTGCCCCAAGATGCATCTGCCTTAGGGGCAGTGGAGTTCCCGGGGAGATCGTGCCGAATGAGATGGAGGGTGACGGGAGCAGCCACGGGACAGGGACAGTTAGGATCTGGGCTGTTCTCGGGACAAGGGCGCCCTGCTTTGGTGCTGTCCCCAGCAGTTGCCCCACCTGGGAAGAAGGATGGGGCGGGCTCTCCATCGTGGTGCTGCCCCACCCTTAATCCCATCCCAGCACCGCTGCACCTGGGGAAGCAGGGAACGCTGTATCAATCCGGGAATTCTCCACCGAGGCATGATGGGATTTAGAAAGTGACCCAGAGTGACCTAAGGGCAATTATTATGTCCTTAGCTTGAATCTGCATGGGGGGGGGGTGTTCACCCTGCCCCCCAGGTGGGCTTCCTTAGAGGGAGCTCTACATGCAGCTTGAATTTTGAGGACACCTGTTGATCATGTGATAACATCCCACACCTCGCGAGAGCCCTCCCCTCCCACAGGGAGGGGCCTCCCCGTAGGACCGACAGGTGAGTGGACTCCGAACCACTCGCACCCACTCGCACCTGACTCTGTGAAATGCTGAGGGAACATCATACCTCGGGGCATAAACAGTAAACGACTCTAGAGCACAGGGAAAATAGTCCATCGGATACACCAGCTTTGCTCACTCTGCCGTAATCTCCATCACCAATATTGGCTGGGACAGAAAAAAAAAATGAATTTACAGGCCGGGGCCCAGCACACCAGGGCATCTCGGCAAACTGCGGTCTTTGCTGCCATCTCGTGGTCGAACTTTGGTATTGCAGCAGCCCGGGGTCCTGGGGGAGACCATCCGCGTGTTAAATCAGAAACACCTGAGAGGCAGCAGAGACCCAGCTGTGTGCAGTTGTGTGGGCGGATCTCAGGGTTTCTAACTTAATCCCGACAAGAATGGCTGGCCGCTGAGGGCCCCTAAGCCAATTTAGGAAGGCCACTTTAGCTAAAGTGTGGAGGGCTGGCCTGGAGACAGAAAGACCAGCAAGGCTTCGTTTTGGTGACGCAGGGCAGCAGTGACGAGACTTAAACACGGCTACGTTTCTGGCTTAAAGCGCTAAGGGGGCGACGGTATTATCAAGCTATCTAGAGGACACGGGGGAAGAAGATTCACGAGGCCCGAGGAACAACCACTGCAGTTGTGGGCGGACCGAGTTTGAAGACCCTAAAGGACGCTCAGCTGGGGAGGCCCAGTGGGCAGCGGGATGGGCAGAGCTCAGGGTCAAAGATTTGACTTGCAGATTGTGCACCCGGGTAATGGATTTTGCCCCAAGATACGCTTAACGTAATTTTTTAATTGTCATATTCATTATGTAATAAATTGTCACAAGTACATTATCAAATAAATATAAATAATGTAATATCAAAATTCTGTAGTATACTATCAAAATGTAATTTTAAAAAATTACAGATTTTTTCCCCAAGATACATCTGCCTTAGGGGCAGTGGAGTTCCCGGGGAGATCGTGCCGAATGAGATGGAGGGAGACGGGAGAAGCCACGGGACGGGGACAGTTAGGATCTGGGCTGTTCTCGGGACAAGGGCGCCCTGCTTTGGTGCTGTCTCAAGCAATGGCCCCACCTGGGAAGAAGGATGGGGCGGGCTCTCCATCGTGCTGCTGCCCCACCCTTAATCCCATCCCAGCAACCGTTGCAGCTGGGGAAGGAGGGAACGCTGTATCAATTAGGGAATTCTCCACCGAGGCATGATGGGATTTAGAAGGTGACCTAGAGTAACCTAAGGGCAATTATTATGTCCTTAGCTTGAATCTACATTGGGGTTCAGCCTGACCCTTGGTGGGCTTCCTTAGAGGGAACTCTACATGCAGCTTGAATTTTGAGGACACCTGTTGATCATGTGATAACATCCCACACCTCGCGAGAGCCTGTCCCCAGACTGGACCAATAAAAGGAAACAATCCGAGACATCAGAGTGTGAGTGAGCTGGTCTGTCTCGTGGAGACAGACCTGTTTTGTTCTAAGATAAAGAGCTGCTCAGAGCTGGGGGTGGTGGCATCTCACGCCTGTAATCCCAGCAATCTGGGAGGCTGAGGTGGTTGGATACTTTGAGCTCAGGCGTTCGAGACCAGCCTGAGCAAGAGCGAGACCCCGTGTCTACTAAAAATAGAAAGAAATTATCTAGACAACTAAAAACATATAGAAAAACTTAGGCATTGCGGGGCATACCTGTAGTCCCAGCTACTCGGGAGGCTGAGGGGGAGGATTGCTCGAGTCCAGGAGTTTGAGGCTCCTGTGAGCCAGGCTGATGCCACGGCACTCTAGCCCGGGCAACACAGTGAGACTCTGTCTCAAAAAAAAAAAAAAAAAAAAAGCTGCTCGTGTGAAACTGCCCCCTGCCTGGGGTTACTCCCTCGCGTTGGCCCTGCTGGTGCTTTTTGCAAGGAAGGAGCCAGAGGACCGGATCACAGTGTGGACTCGGCACTTTGGTGTGTCTGGTCATTCTTCGGCCAAGAGCCCACCAAGCGCAGACTGTAGCCGGGACAGGGTCAGGACAGCACAAATTGCCCAGAGAAGAGGGAGGCCAACGCGTGCCGAGGCAGAGGAGCAAAGGGACGCTGGAGGATGCGTCCCCATAGACCAGGGTCACCCGGGGAGGAGGGTCCGTCAGTCCTTATTGTCACTAGAGTGTGCTTTGCGGAGGGGCGGAACCTTTTCAACATGCGAGCTGGGAGGTTCGAGAGCCCCAAGCGCAGACCCGCCTCAATGGGCAGTGTCGCCTACAGCCCGGCGCTCTGATCGGGGTGAGATCACTGCTGCCTGTGGCAAAGGACAAACAGGTGACACAAAGAGCAAGGTTTTTGGTTTGGCCCTTTTAAAGTATACTTAGTGCTGATGAGGATACGGTGAAATAACTGCTGTAACAACATAAATCAATATTAACCATTTGTACAACCATTTTGCAACATATCAAATGTTTACATCGTTCGACATAGTATCATAATTCCAATTCTGAGATTTTTAAATAATCTATAATACGGAAAACACTGTACGTTTATCTCAGCTATTTATAATAGGAAAAAACTGAAACTGGATTTTACGGTAGAGGAACCGTGAGGGGGGCAGGCTGTGCTGGAGTGCTCAGGTGGGAGCTCCAGCCGGGTCTAACCTCCGGGGCAGAGGGGGGACAGCTTGGTGACCGGCTGTCCCTCCTTGTCCCTGTCACTCCTGACCCTTCAAAGCAATGAGGATAAAACCAGGTGCAATTAACTGAAAGCTCTCCGTGTGCCGGCAAAACGGGACATTTCAACGGGTGCTCGTGGAGGCCGCTGGGTTGGCCTGTGACCCGCAAACATGTTGCCCCCTCTCTGTCGGGGCGCCCGCCCGTCACCACCACCCCGCCCGTCACGCCTGCTTCGTCACTGCGGCGCGTCCTAGAGCAGTTTCCTAATCCGGTTCCCTGACCACACGTGGAGAGGATTCAGGGGGTCCACAACCACCTTCTTACTAAGCTTTAACTGAAAATGACGTTCCTTTCCGTGTGAACGCAGAAAACAAGGCAGAGCGACTTTCACAGTGCCTGTGACCGACCAAGAGAAGGAGCAGATATCTTCCTCCACGCAGCAGTCACGGCGTCCGGACGTCGCTTACCCTCACCAGGCCTTGAAAGCACGTCTTTGTGGGCCTGCCGCGACATCTTGCTGTTCAGCAGATTGACAAAGAAGCTCGTGCATCACCCGACGACAAACACGCTTTGTTCGCTGTTGCGGGCGGCGGAATAGTGGCCTCCCAAAGACGTCCGTGTCCCAGTCCCAGGAGCCCATCAGTGTGTTTCCTATGGATCTTGAGATGGAGAGACAGGCCCGAGTCGTCCCAGTGGGTCCCGGCAGGGGCAGGCAGGAGATCGGGGTCAGAGGGGAGGTGACGACGGGAGCAGAGGTTGGAGCCACTCGATTCCAGGCTTTGAAGATGGAGGGAGGTGCCCTGAGCAGAGGGACACAGGAAGCTTCTGGAAGCTGGAAAAGGTTTCTTCCCTGGAAGCTCCAGAAGGAACACAGCCCTGCCGACCCATTTTGGATTTCTGACCTCTGAAACTGTAAGATGATAAACTCTTGTTACTTTAAGCCACCAAATTTGTGGGCTTGTGTCAATGGTGCGGGGCACAGCCTCTCCCACGGGCCAAAGCTTCCCCCCCGCCCGCAGAAAACTCAGGTGAGCAGAGGAGGGCTGTGCGCTTAGCAGGTCCTCAGGCTGGTGAGGACTCAGACCATCCGATGCTTCACCCTCGCTGGGAGCCTCATTAGCCTGGAACCGGGACCATCAGCAGATAGACAAGCAAACACGGCCACGAGGCGAGGCAAACACTGTCCAGCCGTTTGCTGAGGTTTAGGGTGGAGGCTCATGGCCGACAGGTGGGGGCTACCCAGGCAGCAGGTCGTCGCCAATCCTCCCCAGGTGAGCACGGTTGACAGTCCCTCTGTGTCTCAAAGGGACTCAGTGGAAGAAAGCCTGGAGATGCACCAGCGGCTGCCACCAAGTGCCGCTGTCTGTCTTGCTGAGGAGCGATCGCTGACGCTGAGTCCACGTGTGGGGGGTCCAGCCACACGGCCGCAGCACCTGGCCAGCAGGGTGGGGCGAGGGGGGGAAGGTGGGGATGGAAAGGTGGAGAGACAGAGAGAAAGGACTGTTCCTACTGTGACATGGAAGTTGGAGAGCAGAGCTACGAATAAATGAGAGGGAAGGATAAGGGAACAGAGACAGACAGCTGCCGTGTGAAAGGAGAACAGCAGAAATCAGAATTCGTCTTGTTCATTTTAGAGAAAAATAAAAACCAGAGAGCAGAGACGCCCGAGGTCCCACGGCTCATGAGGGAACTTGGGCTAAAACTCAAATTTTCTGAGCTCCATCCCGGGTGTCTCTCCACCTCCTCAAAGAAAATAGAGGGAAAGGAGGAAAGGGGGTGATGAGAGAGAAACGAGAGAAACTAAAGAGATAAGTAGAAATAAGAAAAGAAAGATTAAGCTGGGAAAGGGGTGGAAACAAATAGAAAAAAATCATCACCAAGATTGATGCTGATTCGAAAGTCCATCTGCACAAAAGAGCCAAGAAAATTTTGGAAAAGAACAAGATGTGGAACTAACTCTCCAGATTCCAAATCTCCTAGAGCCATTGCAACCAAATAGTGTTGTTAGAACAGTGACCGCAGACACGCCAGTGGCACAGACGTGGGGTCCAGAAACAGACCGGCGCGTGTACGTGGAATTCATACGTGGCGAGGATGTGATTTCGGTAGGTGGTGGCTGCACGGGACGGAGGGACCAGGCGATGAACCAGCACCAGCGCTGTGGGCCACACATCTGAGGGGGAAGTTCAGTCAAATCCATAATTCACACTGTCCCCCCCAAAATCAGAGGCGGACAACCTCAACAAAAATGGCACCGTTAGGCGATATTCTGAAAGTATTAGAAGATCTGGGGGGGCCTCGTAGCCAGGGCACGCGGAGCAAAAGCCAAAGGGGACAAGGTTGACACTTCTGCCCACGTTAGGACTGAAAACCTCTGCTTTGTCGCAGGGACCACAAATACAGTTAAAAGTCAAGGACTAGACCAGGAGAAATGTCGCAATTATCTAGCAAAGCACTTGCAGTCATAAAAGATAAAGAACTCCTGAAATCAATACAAAAAGACAAAAAACAGAAAAAAAGGGCAAAGGATTAAGAAAGCAATTTGAAGAAGAAATAACGTGCAATTAACGTACGAAAAGTAGATCAACTTCACTTGTGATCACGTTAGGTCTGTCTGGACGTTCCCTGGTCCTGGCTTCCCAGTGCCAAGGGTGAGTCCTGGGACCGAGCTGAGCCGAGGACGGAGTGATCACACACACAACGCCACCCCACACAGGCAGTTCATCACAGAAAAGGAAGAAAGTACACAAAGTGAAAGTAAAGAAGGAAGCTACCCAAAGAGCAACTACGTTGCAGAGAGAGGAACGGGTCAGTCCCCACGAGTGCAGAGAGAAGCTGAGGACGCCCAGGTGGTTTCCTCGTGTTGTCCTGGTCCGGGGGAGGCTGACGGGAGGTGTGGGATGTCACCAGGTGATTGTCAGGTGTCCTGCGGTTTCCTGCAGTCCCTTCTCCTGACCGGTCCCGGCTTCTCCACCCCTAGGAACCTCCCTCCTGGCCTGTACCCGCCGCCTGCAGACCTGATCCCGCCTAACAATCAGGGAGATGCCTGTTAAAGCAAAATGAGATATTCACTCCCCAGCCTGGCAAGGGTGTTGTTTGACGACATGGCGCATGTGGAACTTGCACATTCGCACCCAGCTGGCGAAAGTGCCCTGGGTACAATCACGTGGAAGGGAAAATTAGTGAAATCTATGGAAGCTAAATTTCTGAATGTCACTTTCCTGCTTAGGCAAATGAATGAATGACTCGTCACTCCTGTAGGAAAGAGAATCGCTTTGCATGTCAGCCTGGGGGGCTGGGCAGGAGAGGACGCTGGGGTCTGTTGGGGTCTCGGCCACAGCGGGGATCAGAGAGGAAGGCACGGGCAGGGCCAGTGCGGGCGCGGGGGTCGGGGGAGAAGCCGCCCCCTGCCCACGCTGCTTCCCTCCCCTGCGGTGTTTGATGCCAGACCCCTCCGGCTCCCAGACGGGGAAGGCAGCTCCGTTATCTCACTCTCCAAGCTTCAGGGAGGAATCTGTTTCGGGTTGGGGAGTGAGGCAGTTAAATTAGCCGTGGGGTCACTCTGTGCTAAGTGAAAAATTTGACTCAGCCGGGCACAAGAGACGCATGTCATTAATCACGGCAGGGTCCCCACACGCCCGCCGAGTTCCTCGCCGACCTCCCTCCCATGAGCTGATTCATTCTTCCTCTCATTTCTCTGGGCAGAGTTGCCAGGAAGGGCACACCGGGGGCCCAGGCGGGGAGGAAGGTCCCTTAGGTGTTGGTTACTCAGGACGTGGGAAGATTGCCGAGGTGGACCGACCTCCTGCGCTGTCTGGATCCTGAAGGAACTGGGGGACGAGGCCAGGCCAGGCAGGGCCGTGGTGAGGCTGAACACGCAGAAGCCGGGCGGGTGGAGGCGGCCTCGCGTAGAGTCAGGGGTTCGAGGCCCTTCATCACTGGCCTCCCAGGAGGACCTGTCTCTGGGGCCTTTCTATTTGGCCCCGGCCTTTAAACCTGCATCCCAGGGTTTTCCCATCATGCCTGACTCTGACCCTCTGTGTTGCTGAACCCGCTTCCTGTTTGTGTTCCAGGGTCACCCCCCGCTCCTGATCGAGTAGCAGTGATGCCTGCCGTTCACTGAGTACCAGCTACGCACCTTCCATGATTGGAGCCAACTCCCGGTCTCTGACTTCAGGGGTAAATGACGGTAAATGCCAAGCCCTGTCCCCCCTGGACAGCTGTGGCTGGTGCCACCTTACCCAAGGGTGTGCCTCAGACTCTCCAGGGGCCTTTGTCTTAAATACACCTGGCAGGACCCATCAAAACCCTCTGGGATTCAATCTTCAGGGGTGAAGGGTAGGCACTCCCCAGATGGTGTGAACTAAAATAAAACCTTAAGCCCCCCGGATGACTGAACAGACCCCTTCTTGGCCAAGGGGACCCCAGAAATACCCTAAAGCTGAGGTGCTGGCCATGAGAAGGGAGGTCAGACAGGCCCCTCCCTTCCTGGAGATGCCCCTTGTAACTCATTCACCGGCCGGAGGCTACGCAAGGCAAAGCTTAAACCACACCTGCCGGTCCTCAGTTTACTTAGTAGATCTCTGAGTCTGAGTATGTCGGTGGCTTGTCTCTGATTGACAGACATCCTTAACTTAAAACATTCCAAGCCTTTAGACAAAGCTTCACTACTTTAACCAATGACAAATCAAAGAATCTTTAAACCCACCTATCACCTATAACTCCCTGCTTAGAGGTGTCCTGCCTTTTGGGGACAAACCAATGTACACCTTCCACGTACTCATTTATGACTTTACGAGTGATTCCTGTCTCCCTGAAACGTATAAAACCACACTGTGACCCAGCCACGGCAAGACCACTCGCTCAAGGCTTCCCGGGCGTGGCTCTCAGGCCATGGTCACACATATTCAGCTCAGAATAAACCTCTTTCAGTTATTTTGGAGTGTGGGTTCTTTTCTATTGACAATGGTTGGGAGGACGACTTGCTGGACAGCCGCCAATCTGGACTCTGGCGGCCACCCTGGCTTTGGCCAAACTCACTGCACGGGAAGAAACCGACTCCTCCTGCCACCGCGCCTCTGCAGTAGCCCCCGTCTGGGTACCCGACGCCTTGGGCTTGTCCCTCGATGTTCTCCCACAGAGAGAGACTGTAACTGGGGCTGCGTCCCAAAGCGGAAACACAAAGCGTCTGCGCTGGAGCCTTGGAGAGCGCCACGCCCAGCACGCAGAAGAGCTCCAAAGCGAAATGCTAATGGCAACCAAAACAGGATTGTTCTGCCCCCGGGTTTCATGGTAATGAGGAAGCGACCTGTGAATCAGCGAACCGAGGGGCGGGAAAGGTCACAGCAAAAGGGGGCAGGATCCATCACCTGGCGGCAGCCCCCCACCCACCAGTGTCTTTAATGAAGCGTTAAATATGAGAGCAATTAAAAGAACAATAATAGCTGAGCTATTGTGCGGGGGAAGGACGTAGAGGAGATGAGGAGGTTCACTCATACACCAAGCGAACATAAAGGATTGTTCTAAACATGGAAGCCGCCCACTGAGCTAAGTGTTAAGGGGCAGCGGAGAGGGCGGCGGGTGAGACCCATCCAGGGCTTCAAAGACAGGCGGGTGTGCATGAGAATCCCAAGTCCTGCCCTCTCTGCCTATGAGATCTCGGGCAGGGACATAGACGCTTTATCTGTAAGTGGGAAAAATAACTGTCTACGCCACAGGGCAAATGTCATGTTAGTAACCTGACAACTCAGTTTCGTAAGGAACTATAATAAAAATCACGTGAGTAAACACCTGTCTCAGTGCCCAGCTCCGGGTAAGAGCGCAGCAGATGGCTGATGATCGCCGCTGTGACATCGACGTCCTCTCTGCGTTTCCACTTCCGGCCCCTTGACGGACGCCAGGCAGGGGCTTCCTCAGCCGGAGTCTCGTTTCCTACACAAACAAAAAGGGAAATACCGCCTCTGACCCCAATCCTACTTAGGTCTTTATCCTCCCAAAGGGTTAAGACGTGGATCCAATATCCAAGAAGAAAAGATATCGTCAATCTAGTGCGAAAATTGCGTTTTCAGGATGCCATAGGGATCACCATTCCCACCTTTATGTATTTTCTAGCAATAAGACGTGAACCGTGCCGAACCAACACTAAAAGGTTACAGCCCCTCTGAAAGGGCCCAGCAGCCAGAGACAGGAAGAACTGGGCGAACATTTAGAACACGTCCCCAATAAAATGCAGTCATATGCCGCTTACCGACAGCGATACGTTCGGAGAAACGCGTCGCTAGGCACTTTCGTCGTTGTGCAAACATCAGAGGGTGCACGTACACAGACCCAGACGAGAGAGCCCGCCAGACACCCAGGCTCCACGGCGCGGCCTGCTGCTCCCGGGCGACCTCCTGCACAGCGTGTCACTGCCCTGAACGCCTCAGACCGCTGTGACACAATGGTGTCTGCGTATCTGGCACAGAAAAGGAACCGTAAAAATATGGTGTCTTGTAGGACCACTGTCATATACGTGGTCTGTCATTGAGCAAAACGTCATTAGGTGGCAGGTGACTACGCCACTCCTGGAGAAGAAAGACGAGCACCTAGAAGAGAGGACAATAAGAACACTTAAGGAGACCAAAGGAAAGCACACAAAGAACCTCAAGGCGGTTACCAAAAAACATGTTTCTAATTTTAAAATAGAGCCCATATATGAATTAAAGAAGAGCACAGCAGAGAGCCCCGGGTTGGGTGGCCCCGGGTTTCCCATTCCCAGGGGTGCCAGGAATCGGATACCCTCTGAGCCACCGTGTGGAAGAAACGAAGCTGAGGTTCTGAACGAAGCCCTGGCTTGTGCATCGTCATGGACTAAAGCTCTGAGTACAATTTTATTTGGTAAAATAGTTTCACTGCTTTAAAAATAAAAGTGAGGAAGGGAGATATTGACGACCACAGAACAACCCGATCGCCTATTCCTTTGAACTTGCAACGCTGATTTCTTTCTCAAGGCCAAAGCGAACGACGTGTAAGTTTACACAGAGGGTTGTCACTCTTGGGAACTCGTTTTCCTCAGAGGTGTTAAATTTAATAGACTGAAAAACACAACGGTTCACACGTATTGCTTACGTATTTACGGAGCGTCTACGCCATGTCCTGGATGCAGTGGTACGAAATGCAGGGTGCCCTACTGCGTGGGGCTTAGATTTTTAAATAGAGTTGAAAGGAAATAATGAAAATGTGTCCACACTGAGCAAAGAAAAGATGGGACGTCTTCCCACAAAACTTCCAAGTCTCAGAGTGGGACCCTCCGCAGACCAGAGGCTCTAACAGACGAGCTTACTTTTCTTATTGCCCAAAACACCGACTTTAGAAAATCCTAATTCCAGCGGCGTTTGGAACTGGAGCCAGCCCCGGACAAGACAGTGAGCTGACCTGGGTGGTCTCAGGCAACGCTCGGCCCCTCCTCCCCTCCTCCCGCCCTTCCCCGATGTGCTTTGTGGCGTCGCCTCCTGGCACGACTGTCAAAGACCCCTGCCTGCGATGGTTGCTGGAATTCCTTTTGCCCTGGCATTTGGATCTACATCCGGGTTTCCTGAAGACCGAGAGCCTCTAGCCTCAAAACAGAAGCCCCGAATATCGCGACTGCAGCCCCTAGCTGAGGACCGGGTGCTGCCTCTGCAGGGGTCCTGTGCTGGGCACACAAAACCCCGGTACGAGCACCCCCACATGGCCAGGCTGGCTGCACCCACCCCCTGCCTCCCTCCCGACGGCAGTGATGGGCACTGTCAGCAAAGCCCAGGACATGATGAGTCTCTCTGTTCCTCGGTGATCAGATTTGACTCTGATTTGATTTCAGATGCGGAGAACACAGATGAATCACTGTTCTGGGCTTAATAGAATTGACGTCCCTGTCTCCTGGCCACGTTCTGACAGCAGAGGGGGTGGGCAGAGAAACCAGGGGGCGGCCCCCCATCATGGACAGCAAGACGGACGTCAGGAGCTGCCTTCCTTCCTGCCCGTGTTCAAAACCGCAGCCCCGAGGGGAGCTCGGTCCCTGCTCCGCCAGAGACACCTAAGGCCGAGGTCTGTTTTGGTGACCAGGCTGCCCCGCCACTGCCTGCCCCGCCACCGCCTGCCGTTTCTCCTCCACTCCAGCGCACCCCTGTTCCTGTGGCCTCGGCTTCTGGCCACCTAGGAACTTACTTAGGGATATTAGGTAGTATGGTGGGCCAGAAAGCGGGGCTCTGCCCTGCGCCCCCAGGAATGACACCTGTCAGGCCGTGGGTCTGCCCTGGGAAAGCAGGACTCTTCGTGGGGAAAGACCAAATGGCTCATAATATGGGAAATGACCACAACGTGTGGAGAATATAAAAAGACGGTGGCTACCAATGAATGCCCACCCCACCATAAAACCCAACAGCAGACTGTGTCCTCCCGAGAGAGAAGAGGCCTCTCCAGACTTCCCCAGACCCCTGCCCTGGCTCCTGTGCTGGGCCAACTCTGAGGAGCCCTCAGAAATGCCAGGGGACATTCACCCGCTCACTGGTGTTCCCATGTGGACATCTCAGCAGTCTCAGAGATCTCTCCGAGAGACCATCTCCACGCTCATCACGTCCATTGTCACCTCTACAAAGAATGTCTCTTCTCCCATCTTCCCATGTTCGAGTCCTGCATCTTGGTCTGGTTCCGACGGGGCTGGGCACCCACAGCCCCCGCGCCCGTCCCTACCACTGCCCTCTTCAGCCACGCCGCAATCGTGTGTGTGTCCGGCACCACCGCCATGTTGTAAGCTTCCTCCCGTCTCCGTGACCCTAGAACCTCCCGCAGTACCCAGGGCAGAGATTCCCTTAGGAAACGTTTGTAGGGGACTCGGTCCTGCTCACGGTCACTTGGATGACCAGTTCATACCGGGTTGCTCCCCACCGAATGCCACGGAGTTACACCGGGGACACAGGCGGGGATTCTGGGCCTCCGCTGCCGTTCTCCAGAGGAAGAGAAGAAATGCGTCTGGTCCCCTGCAGGAGTCAGGCGAGCTGTAGCTTCCATCGTGACAGGGCTCAGGAGAGGGGTGAGGCACAGTCCCCCATCACCCCCGGCCCTGAATGGGGACTCGCGTCTGGTCTGGCCCAACACGGAGTGGCCATGCGACAATGTGGCAGGGGGTGAAGAGTGCACCTGGCCTTACTCCGCCTGGCGGGGCCGAGGATAAAGGGCCACCCGCTCCCTCAGGCTCTGCCCCAACGCACCTGCTCCTCCCCTCCTGCCTCCGTCGCTAAAACACCCTTAAATCCCGTCCTCCCCAGAGGCCATCCCGGGACCATTATATGGTCTCAGTCACTGTGTCTTCACATTCCTTTATGGTGGTTCAATTGCAGTGACGGCCCCAGTTCTTCTCTACCCAGCTGTGGGCTGGCGACACACTCGGCTCAGCCGTGGGACCTGCCTCGGCTCCAGCGGGACGTGAGAAGACGGGATGGAAGCAGAGGCTGGGCACGGCTGGGCCCGGGCAGGCCTTCCCGCTGCTCCTGCCGTCCACACACGGGATGCACGGGGAGCCGCCCCAGCCAGCAGTCACCTGACACCCAGACCCGTGGCCCATCCCAGCTGGGACCAGAAGAACCTCCCACCCTCAACTGCTGCTGCAAAGAATTGTGAGTAAATACGTGGTTATGATTTTAAGCCAACTGGGTTTTGGGGCGTTACATGACACTATTTATAAAAACGGATAATTGTTCATATTCATCAACATTTTGTTTAATGTTTGAATTACATTTTCTTCCGATTATATTTTCCTCGCCGTTTTTCTGGTTTTATTTCCATCTCCTGTGCATCCCGTCTCCTTGAGAGTGATGAAGCCACACCCCACGGTGTCTCTCCCTTCCCACCACCTGCTGGAATTAACAGGGGACCTGACACAGGGTTTCGAAAGAAGAGCTCACGGGATTATCGGAAGAAATAACTTGTGAGCTACAACTACTTACTTACGATCAACGAGTAAGCCCCAGTAGACTTCGCTGCCTTAACCGTCAATGCCTCCCGGAGTTATTTAGAGCATCCACTAGGAGAGACAATGGTTAAGGAGAAAATTGGAGCTTTACAAACGGGCAGCACTGTTTCTCAGACCTGTGAACCCAAACTTACCAATCACTCCTATTACAAAAACTAAGAAACCCAAAAGGTCACAAAAGGTATCGGGAACTAAAGTTCTTCTTGAACATTCAGCAGAATTCCTCGACACCCGGTTGCTCTGGGGTCCCGTCTTCAACATCATTTTGTTTCCTTTCCCCAAATCCGGCAAATTGATTGGATTCCTGGTGAGACAGTCCTCCCTTTGCTCATCCACCCCTGACTAACGTGTGACCTTTTTTGACGGAATTGTTGAAAGCCATTAGTGGTTTTATTGCCTCTGATTGCCAACATTTGCCAATTGTGCTGTGACATTTATCAAGCTCCTGTGTGGCTGGGCGAGGAGCACTTCCGGCGTCGGTTTAAACTCCGCAAACTAATTGTCCTTAATTAGAATCAGCTCAGCTCCAACAGTCCAGGCTAATCAGCTACTTCACGGGTTTGCCATGGAGTCTGCAGCAGAAAGAAACACAGAACTAGTTGGCATTTAGCAAAGTGAAAAGGTACTGAACTTTCAGAAAAGGAAGTCATTTCTCTGATAAGATTCGGGGGACTAAACCCCACTGGCAGTCCAGGGCGCTGGCCCAGGCGGTGGCTTCCTGAGGAAGGGGTGGGTGGCGGGACTTTGCTTTAACCCTGAGGATCCTTTGTCCCTGTTCCCTTCACCGTCACCTTCGTCACCGGCTATGTCCATGTGTAAGATGACATTTGATCAATCCACGGCCTGAAAGAAGAAAGGCATTTAGGTCACTGTGAAATCGTGGGGAGGCTGACTCGCTCCTTGGAGAAACCTCAGCCGATGGCTTCATTACTGCTCAGGTAGTTTCAGGAAAGAGGCTTGCCTTGGAAGTCAGGAGGTCTGTATGGACTTGGGCAAACCACTCCATGCCTTAACCTTGGGCTCCAATTACATCTTCAGTAAAATCGGGACCGTAAAACCTTACCTGCTTCCACGAACGAAGTTTAGTGCAGATGAATCTGCCCAAGATCTCCCCCAGGACCGAAAGGTACGAGCCCCATAGATTTTACCTGGTGGCTGTCCCAACTCCGTTCTTCCTTCCTTCCTTCCTTTCTTCCCTCCTTGCTTCCGTCCTTGCCCACTTCTGGGCCAAGCATCCCACCAACCAGGCACATTCTCCTGGCCACCTCTCTCCACCTCCTGCCGCAGGTATAACAGTTTACCTCTGACTCACTGCACCTGTGTCGGGCCCCTTGGTGTCCGTGGCACTGTGCTATGTACCAGGAGGGTGCACATCCTTCTTCCTTAGCGATAGCATCTTACCCTATTCCTCTACCTCCTCTTCACCACCCCTTTTTTCTCCAACTGATAACCCCCAAGTACTTCCTAGAAAGTCTCTGATCCTCAGTGCCAAGCCCATAGGTATAACTCGTGCTTCTTTCCCTGGTAGACATTTGCTCCTAGGAAGTTTCCTATCCACACCTCCACAGACAGCTGCCCGTGCCACCCCCACCCCCACCCACAGGTGTGCTCTCCAGCATCCTGGCTCATCCTTAAGGGACAGACCCCGAGGTCACATGACCCAGAGGAAACGGGCGTGGAGCCATTTGGCAGCAATTACAAGGTCTAGAAGTAGGGGGCATGGACTTGGGCCTTTGTAACCTCAGATTTGGTAACGAGTTCTTAAATGTGACACCAAAAGCATAAGAAATAAAAGAAAAATAAATTCTATTTCATTGAAATTTAAAACTTTTATACTTTAATGAACACTATGAAAAAAGTGAAAAGACAGCCTAACAGAGTGGGAGGAAATATTTGCAAATCAGAAATCTGATAAAGGGCTTATCTCTAGAATACATAAAGAACTCTAGCAGTCAGGACTGTCCGTCACACCCATAGGCACCAAATAAATATTTATGGGAATAAATGGCCTTCCCAGAAATTCAAATTTCCTTTGAAATATGAAATGCACTTTAAAAAGAAAAAACCATCATGTTCCTCTTCCAAACAGGACCATCATCCAGCCCTATAATTTTGAAATAGCAAATGGCAACACTGAACATCTCTGAACCACTTCCTTTGTTGAAAACTGCAACGTATTTATTACTGACATTTAAGTTTTTCTCCCACATACTCCCCTCTTGCAAATATGTCTGAAGAAACTCCGTTTCAGAGACCCATTTATCCTCACTGACGTCGGGTTCTCCCCCGCTGCGCCCCACAGAGGTGTGCTGCAAAGGTCAGGCCACCGGAGCAGAGCAGCTGACGACCAAACAGCCAGGTGGACACAGAGCTTTCGTGCGCGGTTCGTCAGCGTGAAGAGAGAGACGAGGGAACCAGGCGCCTTCTCCAACACGCAGCAAAGAACCCAGAGAAGAAAGGGTTTTTGTCTGGGACTCTAGATCCGTGGACACAAAACAAGCCAAAAACGGTCATCAGGTGGCACCTGAACAGGTGAGCACAACAGGATGACGCTCATCAAACGGCCAGAAACCAGAGCACTCAGGGCGTTCCTGACTCATGCAGGAAGGTGCGTCCTCCTTCCACTTAGCACTGCGCTGGGATAAAAGGCATCGCCGGAGTGAGTGGCAGGGCCTGAGTCTCATCAATAACCGTGCGCTGTAGTGGGAACTTGTCATTAGGGTCCCTTTGAGAGCCTGACCCAACCCAAGTATTTAATGAAACCCAAACTGACCTTAAAACAACCTTTCCTTAATTTGCACAAGGTCTTTCCCCACAGAGCACTTGGCTGATATGAAAACAGAAAATGCCATTGCTCATCTCCTGTAATATCTACTGTTGACAACAGCAGTTCTCAAACTCTTAGTCCCAGGATCCCTTTTCGCTCTGAAGACGACCCCCAAGAGCTTTTGTTAATGTGGGTTATATTTGTCAATAGTTACTATAATCAACATTAAACTGGGAAATTTTTAAAATACATGTGATTTTGTGATTATTCATAAAAGTATTGATAATTTTCTATCATTAATCATTAATTAACGTATCATTGATAGGATGATTAATACATTAATGACTTTGTATACTAATACATTTTACAATAGCAATAGCAATTCATTACCTAATAACATCAATAACATTTTTATGAAAAATAATTATAGTCTCAAAAACAAAAACTAAATTTGGTGAGAAGAGTAGCATTTTCTTGTGGTGTCACAAATCTTTTTAAGGTTTAAAAGGATTCTTTTTATAAATATTGGAATCAGTTCCTTTATTAGTTACGTGATTTGTAAGTCCTTTCTCCTAGTCTGTCTTGTCTTTCTATTTCTTTATTAGTGAACTTTGAAAAGCAGATTTCAATTTTAGTAAAATCTCATTTATCAATTTTTTTAAATAGATCATGCTTTTGGTGGTGTATTTTAGAAATTTTTACATAACCCAAAGTCACAAAGAATTTTTTCTTGTGTTTTCTTCTAGAAGTTTTATACTTTTAGGTTTTACATTTAGTTCTATGATTAATTCTGAGTTGATTTTTATATGTGGAGTAGTGTATGGTTTACATATGGAATAGTGTATGGTTTATAAATGGAATAGTGTATGGTTTATATATGGAGTAGTGTATGGTTTACATGTGGAATAGTGTATGGTTTATATGTGGAGTAGTGTATGGTTTATATGTGGAATAGTGTATGGTTTATATGTGGAGTATTATATGGTTTATATATGGAATAGTGTGTGGTTTACATGTGGAATAGTGTATAGTTTATATATGGAGTAGTGTACGTTTTATATATGGAGTAGTGTATGGTTTATATGTGGAGTGGTATATGATTTATATATGGAGTAGTGTATGATTTTGAGTAATTTTGTTGTATATGGATATTCACTTGTCCCAGCACCATTTGTTGAAAGATGTTCTTTTCCCATTGAAGTAACTTTGTGTATCTGTAAAAAATCAATTGGCTGTGTACGTATGGATCTATTTCCAAACTCTTTATACGGTGCCCTTGGTCTATTTGTTGACCCGTAACACCCAGTACTATAGCTTTATAATACATCTTTAACTTAGGTAGTGCATGTTCTTAAAGTTTGTTTTTCTTCACGAGATTGTTTTATTATAGCTATGCCAGGTCCTTTGATTTTTCAGATAAATTTTAACATCAGCTTGCTAACTTCTATAAAATACCTTATTGGGATTTTGATGGAGATTGCATTGAATCTATAGATCAACTTGGGAAAAATTTATTATTTTTAAAAATATATTTCCTAGTTCCGTCTACAGAAAGGGCCTAGCAGTATTGATACCGCAGTAGCCAGGAGCACACCTAGCGCCCCCACTCAGTACTGTTCTAAACACCATCTCCCACTGAGAGGACCACAGCCCCTTGGGGCAATGTTTGGTTCCAAGCCTCAGGTAGGGAAAGCACAAGGGAGCCTGGAACATCTTCTTTTACCACAAACTAAGGAGCTGGGTTTTTTTAATCCAGTAGGGACACGTCAAAGGACACAGGAATTAGCCCGAAGGTCCAATGGGACACATCTGGAATAATTGGAGAATTTAAAAAATATATAGTCATGGATTATAACATGTGGAATTTTTAATAATCCATAATTCCATAGTAATATTCAGAAATTAGACAGAGACAGAGAAAAGAGACAAAGAGGAAAGGTGAGAGGGGAGCTCTTCTCTACAAAAGAATGCCAACCAACAAATACAGAAGGAATTATAAAATTAGAAAAATCATCATTTTGCAAACCCCAATGTTGTGATTTATTTAATCAAATGTCAATAAAAGCTAAAGCTATTGGGTGAAAGCCTATCGGGAAACAGGATACTCACATGCTCTCCAACTATCGACAGGTCGCTTGTTAACTAGAAAGGAGAAAAGGTACCTTACAATGGAGCCCTCTCGCAAAAACCATCTTAAGCGAGGGATCAAAATTAACATCACTGGTAATGAAACAAACTGTGATCACACAGTTCGTAATGTGGTGTGGCGCTGTTGCCGAAAACACTTAGCCTTGGGAGAGACAAATACAGGTGTGGGGATTCTAGAAGACAGCTGACCTGGATTCTTCATTTACACACACACACACACACACACACACACACACACACACACACACGCCAGTGTTCATTGGACTCTTACTTCTACTTTTCTGGAAATAAGAAATTTTTGAAAATAAAAAAATTGCTTTTTAAAAAAGCATATGAAGAGTCCTTAGGGCAACTTGCTTGTTTTTCAAAGGGGAATGGCGTCCCCTCCTGGGAGAGCACCAGCAAGGCGGCCATGTCTTCAACAACAACGTTTGGATGTTTGAAACAAGCCTGGGAGAGAAGGATGCTCGAGTCAGAAATAAACAATGAATGACCGTTTGCGGAAATCTCATTTTCACTCCCGAGCTGCTTGGAGAGATGCCAGGCAGGAGCGATGTTCTCATTTGCAGCTCGGGTTCAGCCCGGACGTCTCTGCATCTCACACGGACAGGATGTCTGCGAGCCTCCCGCACACACCGGGACCTGCTCACGCACCTGCTGCTCACAAAATGAGCTTCAACCCTCCTTCCTGGGGAACTCGAGGACCTGCAGCCCCGGTGAGCTGCCCACCAATGCGGAGTGTGAAATGAGCATGGCGGTGTGGCTGTCCCCGTGACACCAAGTGGGAAAATAAGCCTCAGATGAGCAGAGAGAGAAGTAGACTTTTTAAATGTTTGAAGATGCATTTCAATGGGAAGGAAAATAAAAGGCAGAATATAAGATACCTATGCCATGTAGCCCACATTTCCTCAGTTGCTCCTGTCCTTGTCTGAATAACCTCTAGAGCCATACCAGGGCCATCCCTGGGGACGTCTTACAGGAACTACTGGACAGAACTTGTTCATTTCTCTGCTCCCAGCCTTGCGCTGTGGTAACACGGATGTCCTTCCCAAAGCTACTGACCCTAAGGGGACCAAGTGACATGGTTTCCATCAGTTTTTACTGGGACAAAATCAAGCTGTGTTCCATGAAGAATAAGAAAGCCGATCACCTCTAATCTCGAGGGCTCCCTTCCCATCTAATTGTGTGATTTCTCAAAGTAGTCTTCAGAAATATTCTTGTAATAAAGCCCTCCGTGGCTGCTTCCTACGGCTGCACTTCTCACCTGGGCTCCGTGGTAAAATGCAGATTCCGGTTCAGTAAGTCTGAGGTGGGAGCTTCTAACCAGTCCCCAGCGATACCGATGCTGCCGGTCCGGAGACCACACTTTGAGTAGCCAGACCCTGGAGTACTCAGTACTAAGTACTATAGTGTTTAGCACCTGTGTTTCTCACACGTAGTCGATGTCGATAAATATGTTTTGAAGGGATGACTGAATTTATTGAAGGTTTCTGCCATAGTAGAATTTTTTATAAAACTTTATTAAGACATCTGCCTTTCATCCTACTGGTCTTCTGCTTTCGCCTTGGAGCTATGAGACTGGGGCATTGTTAGGAGGAAGGACTAGCAAAAGGTTGTGAAGGAAAACATCTGTCGTGGAGACAGCTCAGTCCTTGAGGGCCAACCGTTCTGCCAGAAGCCCATATGTCCGACTTACATGGCTTCCATCCCTACCTCCACAGCGATTGCTCGACAAAGTACAGATTTATTCATTGTCTATTCTCCCCTACTCTTAGAGCACACACACACACACACACACACACACACACACACACAAGTGCACTCCTTTTACTTTAAATTGCTCCTTCCTCTTTACAATGGAAACCAACTTTGCACGATTTTACACCATCAAAAGCAAACTGTTAGTGGTGCGACTGCCTTCTAACCTAGCCCTGGACTGTCACAGACCGACACAAAACCTTCCCCCTGCCTTGATTGGGAGAGATAGAATGTAACCTCAATGTCATCTGACTCCCTACGCTTGTCTTTTTGAATAAATATCTAATAATCTCTCATTTTTATTTCATTGTAATAATCTTATCTTCAATTATAGGCTACACGTCTAAAATAACCATTCACTCTCAAAGCAGAGTTGTTTTCTCCTTGTGGTCAGAAATGCAGAGTCACCAGCGAAAGTCAAGACCCCTGGGAGCGTTAGTGTCCAAAAGACAAGACCACTGGCAACGTCAGTGTCGGAGAACCAAGCTCCCACGAGAACCTGCATGCAGCCCTGTCTAAGTGATTTATTAATAACACATCTGTGCCTGTTTCCTCTTCTGAAAAAAAGAAGAGATTGAACTAGATTATGAGGTACCTTTTAGGCTAAATATTCTATGTTTCCAGAAAAGTTCACAAAAAACGAAATCATTACCACCCTGCTAAAAGCGAGAAGTCAAGCAAACCAAAAATCAGGGGCAATAAGAGAGAACTGAAGAATAAAGATGACCATAATACTCTGTGTTCCTGTAAAATTGCATCAAGTTCTTACAATACTATCTTGACATCGACCTTGTCAAAAAAATAGGAAAGTAGGCCAGGTGCAGTGGCTCACGCCTATAATCCCAGCACTCTGGGAGGCCAAGGCGGGGGGATCACTTGAGCTCAGGAGTTCGAGACCAGCCTGAGCAAGAGCGAGACCCCCATCTCTACTAAAAGTAGAAAAATTAGCCAGGTGTGGTGGCGCATGCCTGTAGTCTCAGCTACCCAGGAAGCTGAGGCAGGAGGATTACTTGAGCCCAGGATTTTGAGGTTGCTGTGAGCTAGGTTGATGCCACGGCACTCTAGCCCGGGAGACAGAGCAAGACTCAAAAAAAAAAAAAGAAAAAAAAAAAAAGGAAAGTTTACACCATTCTACATTTTATAAAACAGAAAACAGAGAACCAGAGAATTTCTGTGACCGAACCAAATAGCCAAGCTAACAACCGAGGTAGAGGCGGAAACTGAGTCTCCTGTTTCCAAAGTAAATCCTCTTTCCTATAAATCCAGCTTTCTTACGATTCTCCAACTTCTTCTTCCT